ATGTCTTATAGTGCTAAGAAGTGTTGGAGCTCGTGAGAGATATTGTAGCAGCTTCAGAGGCGGATCGACTAAACGCATCCTTTCCTGGAAGCTTGACAATGTGCAGCCTTCCTTCCATTTTTTGTTCCAAATCAAGAGCATTATAGCCCTTGTTGAAGCATTATAATCAGCATTACAAGGTAGATTATGATTAGCATTATTATTATTGTGCTCTGGATGGCAGTCGTGAGTCAGTCAAGTGTCAAGTAAAGTCGGCGGAATAGCGCGAGCTCCGGTGTGGGGAGCAAACCCTTTATTATTATTATTACTGAAGTATTATTATTAGACACAATCTCATAGCATGTGACAAGCATAGCTAATGCAGGGACAGAATCCCCTGAGACAAGGGCGTTGAGCCAGCCACGGCAATAGTAAGCTAGGAAAACAAAGCAAATATTAATTAAAGCAAAAAATGAATGGAAAATTACAAAGAAAAACGATTAACGGAAGTGAGCACCGTGAATCAAAATTCGTGCATCACCCAGGTATTCGAGAATGTTCTTCGATAATAATTATTGCGTCTAGTTCAGTTGTGATAATAATAATAATAATAATAAAACAGGTCGCGTGATGAAGCAGCATCACGATAGATATGCAAAGTCATGATGCCTGGTCCGCTTCTGTCCTGGGTTCACTACCCCGTGCGTTGCAGTCAGTTGTGATAGTAGATCTTTAAACTGACCAATAGAAGAACAAGTTTTCAGACCGTATGGTAATGATAACCAATGAGAGTAGCCGGAAAACAAAGGGGACTTTAGATACTGGGCTGACTTAACAAGAGGCAGGATGAGCGCGTTACGGGTTGAGCTTGTCGAAAACCAATTGTACTTCATCATGTGTGTAGGGGTTTTATGAAGAAATATTTGATGAACCAGTGTACAGAGATGGTGCTTATGACGAACGTAGAGAGGAGAAGTGTGTGCAAGTCGATAAAGGGCATCCGAAGGAAAACATCGATCCTTGTTGTAAAGAATTTTAAGTATAAATCTATGGTGGACTTCTAATTGGTTCAGAGTTGTGTCAGAAAGGCCACACCAAGCGGTATCGCAATAGTCGAATATAGGGAGAATATAGCACTGATAAAATAATAGTTTACACTGGATGGGCAAATGAGTGCAATGTGGTTGTAGTACCCCTAATGCTGAACTGGTTCGCTTGCATACACAGTTGACATGTGCAGCCCAAGAGAGTTTGCAGTCAAACATCACACCTAGATGTTTGTGCTGAGTAACAACACGGATAGGCATAGTCGAGTCAGGGAAGTATAATGGTTGATCAGGAGGGGATGAAGAAATGTACATGGCTTCTGTCTTGTCTAAATTGGGCTGGAGTTTCCACGTTTGCATCCACATGACAGTGCTGTTGATGCGATGCTGCATGGTAAGGAGTAATTGTGCAGGGGAGGAATCAGAACAGACAAGGCCAGTGTCATCCGCATACAAACTAATATTATTATACGAACATATTCGGAGCATTATCCACTGGACCCTATACTTTCTGCCTAATTGTAATGTTTTTTTGTCAATATAACTTTTCTGGAGGGTCATGTAAACAGAATGTTTCCTTCCTGGATCTCACTGGAAGGCTAAAAACATGATTTGAACTTGAAAAACTCAAAACTGAGCAAACTGCACCATACAGGTACATGTACATGCACTACATGTACGAGTGCAATACAGTCTGTCAATAGCATGAGACCGTACACAATAACTATGTTGAAGTATAAAGGAGTCATTGCATGCCATTTCATCAGAACATGACTGGCTGCAGCATGAAGCAGCCACTTTTCTGATCACTTTGTCTGATCTAATATCTGAGACGGATCCATGCAACGTACAGAACATGATTCCGGCACATTGTGCATTGTATATTGGTTGCAGATTGTCCACAGAAAGAAACACAACACTGAACGTCTGCACAAGTCGCTGCAAACCAGATAGACAACCCATAAAGAATGATCAACAACACAAAAACCTGACAGTCTGGACATACATGTATTGCTAATAAAGTACATACACTGGCAGACCAGAGTTGAAAGACCGTGTGATCCAAGAAGACCATGCCGACCGTTGTGGCTGTCAATGCGACAGACTTCATCATCATAACACTGGCTTATGACATCTCCTTCATAACACCAATGTGTGGCATCATCCAGGTGAAATGAAGCAGTTTAGAGTGATGATGAACATTGTGTGCGGATGAAGGCGCGTAGCTGGCATAGGTCAAGGGGGCACGTGCACCTCCCTAAAAATGTCGACCTTGGTTCAGCATGCACCGTTGTGACCATGAAAGACATGGACCAGCCAGCCTACACATACATTGAATGCGGCCATGCATCCCCTAAAAGGGGGACCAGCTATACCCCTGAATCCTGTCCACAGAATTGGTTGCAGGGAAAGCAGGTGGAATGGATCACAGAGTAGGATAAAAACTGGGAAGACATTGGTAGGTACATTGTACAACAGTTGAGCGCTTTCGCCTTGATGGAATGAAGGCTGACACAAGCTGCAGGAGACGCTGCTGAGTTGTGAACATGTGCGCGTTGAGATGACTGCACAAGTATGCCATTTGCACAGAGGATTGTGACTTCTCCCAACAATGTTTCTTCCCACAGATAATTGCCAATCACGACTCCCATGGGAAGAGACGCTGCAGTTGCTTGCTGATTATTGGCTTGGCATCCAGCCAACGCAGTTTTGAGCTCTAAACCTGTATGCATGCAGCACCGTAGCCAAGGTGGTTCACCATACTGATACTGGTATAACGTTTTGGACTTTTATGGTGCAAAGCAAGAGTAATGTGCTTCAGGGCTGTACTGCAGCACATGAAAACTAATCTTCCCCAAGCGAGCAGGTCTGGCGGTGCAACTTTGGACTAGTGTGACATTGTCATCTGTCTCTGTAGCCTGAGTTGCATCGCCGATTGTAAGTGCTTAACCCTCCTCCCCTCGTCGTGATGGCTGGCGAGTTGATGAAAAGGCAACGAAAGTGCTTACAAACGAGTTGCAATGCATCGCTGCATAGACACACTCAGATTCAATAGTCGTATCGGCCTAACGAAGATGATTTCATCCTCAAAGTAGTCAAGCCTATACTGAGGCATTTGTTGCAGTACACCGTTCCAGCGTTGAAGCTCTCGTACAGATCGCGATAATAGTTATACTGCGTATGATGAGGCGAGAGATCGGCCAATGGCAACTTGGTCATTTCGTCTTTTCTCATATTTGGTGTTTGTAAGAACTTGGCAGAAGCATGTATTCATATTTGCTTGTTGATCGGACTGCGTTCTTCCGGTATGATTGCTGCAGTTTCACCTTTCCCCAAATGTGCAGCTCTTCGTGCCGTGGGAGCTAACGTTACGACGGGAGCAGCTAGAGAAGAGCGTGTGCGGGGGCGACGCGAAAGCCTCCATTTCCAGGCGAAACATCACTTCCACAAGGCTCCCTGCGCTCAGCTTTAAAATTATCTACAGCAACAGCTTCATTTGTTCCAAATTATTTCACGCAATTTTCCACATCAGTATCTGGGTGAAGGGCTCCAACTCCTCATCACGACGATTTATTGCTACTTGCCCACAGACTTCCAAAGATTCACTTCAAATTAAATATTACCTCAACAGGTACAGACAGTAGACCAGTGCACACCAATGTCAGAGCTACATGTACACAGCATGTACACAGCATCCTTTGGAATAATGGAGAAACGGAAAGCAAGAAACAATCCAGAAATGGAAGGACGTGGACTCGTGGAGATGGCTCAACGACGTTACGTAATCATTGCAACAAACTGTGTGACCTCATGAGTCATGAGCTCACTGATCTGTCAGTCAGTGTCGGTGTCACGCGATCAGTTCTCAAACCTGGATCGAACAGCTGAGCTGAGAAGTGAGATGCATGGATGCAAACAGGGCAAGCTACACTCGATGCGTGCACTGCATGCACGGCACATCGATCAGTAGTATGCAGGAGTGCATGCACTTACCCCTACCTACATACATGTACATGTACATGACATTGTACAGGTCTACATGTACAGTCAACTAAATTACTTCGCTTATAACGACTGCGGATATAACGACAATTCGTGAATAACGACAGAATTTCCATGCCCAGAGCAAAGTCCCATCCCACTGTAATACATATAATGAGACTTCGGGTACAACGACACTTCGCGAATAAGGACACCTTTCTGATGCCCCGCCGAGTGTCGTTATAAGCGAAGTTGACTGTACACGCATGATGCATACAAAACAATGGTCGCCGAGAGAGAATTAATTCTCAACATGGAAAAGGCGCTCGTTGGATACCTTTCAGAAAGTTGTCAGAGTGACAGCAACCGGAATCCTGGTCAGTAAGGTATCTAGAGTAGACGTGGCCAATAAAATTGGTGCCCAAAAGTCGGAACGAGATTTTTCTAGGAGGCCTTTTTTCAGGTTTGGCCCACGGACTATAGATAACACGAATCTCTCCCAGGTACAGGTTTGGTTTAGAGTGGAAATATCTTCAGGCGGGGTGCTTACATGTATGTCTGGCAATGAAACTTTCACCAGAGTCTTGTACTTGTTGTGTGGGTTCGTTGTACGGTATTTTGACTACTCGAGTACTCCTTGGCTTGATGATGAGTGATGTACATGACTCGACTGTACAGAACGGCTAAACTGTGAGTCATGCAAAGCATTCCGTAACCCACCGTTATGCGTTGTTCGCGGGGAACTTGTGCATCAAGACGGGGAAATCCCTTGTCAGTAATGCCACGCATGACCGCCTTGACTCGTCTCCGCGCACGTGTCCTTTTGACCCCTTCCTCGATCCATCCTACATGAGTACATCAAAATCAAAGCGCAACAACAATCACCACGTACATAATCATTATGTACTGTATGATGACCATCTGCCATTCACGTGCGTTTGTATGGTCAGCGTGCAGAATAGTAGAGAACGACAAAATTTCCACCTATTCAGCCTTTCAGGCTATGTCCTAGTAAGTGATATTAGTTGTGCCAGGTCTTTGTAGCTTTCAGTCTTTTCAGGTGAGCGTTGTTTCGAGAGTGTCGCCAAAAGCTGGTGCTGCACGTACCCGAAGCCTGCTGAAGCGCTACAGACCAGTCTCTACTGTACTAGCCAGGGCATCAGAATTCAGATCCGAGCATCAGAAAGTGTAAGACTAAAAAATTTGGTAGTGAGTAGCTCAGTCATTGAACGTCTTTTATTTACACGATTACCGGGTGAGTAGTAGAACGTGCCTAGCGCCTACTAGCCCCTCCACGGCGAACACAGCGACACGCGAGCGCTGTCAGTAACCACGTCTGATATTTTCGAGACTCGCGGCGAACAAAGGAGGGGGACCTAGCTGAATTTTCGCTACGTCAAGGTCAGCACCACACAAGACAGATGGCGGGAAGTCGGTTAGAGATGAGGATTCCACCGGGCAGCAAAATCGATGCAAAGATCACTCGCAGCGAACCGATGCAGCAAGGAATGTTTTGCGTGTATGAAGGTGAATGGTGCGGAGCTGAAGTGCTGATCAAGTGCATTCACAGCTCTGTCGCTCAGTCTCTGATGCCCATTGGCGCTGAAGCAAAGGAAAAGTTCCACGCCGAGTGCATCAAACTCGGTATGGCCAAGCACCCTAATATCACCCTGCAGTTAGGTGTTTGCGAGCCTCAGCCACCCTCAACAACGAGTCCCGGCCTTGTGTTCGAGCACATGTTCTGCACATTGCAGGAGCGCCTGTCAATGCCAACACCGTTGGAGCGGCTCGGTGAGGTTCGCATTGCCAAGGGCGTCATGGCCGGCTTGGAGTATTTGCACAGCAAGAAGTGGGTGTACTGCAACGTCTGCCCAAAGACCATCATGTTGACATCAGCATCGCCCGCAGACTGCACGGCAAAGCTGAGTGATTTGATGTTGGTTGTGAAGGAAACATCGAAGGATGTTAACGAGGACGTGCCGTTGACTAAAGCCCTCACGCAAGCGACCGACTCTGTCGCAGCGCTCGGCGTCGCCAAGCCGGCAGTCTGTGGGTTCAGAGACTTGGCGTTTCAACCGCCAGAGGTTGTATCTCAAGTGATTCTGGCCAGCAATACCACACCGCCTGAGTCCAGAAGCACTGCATCGGCGCAAGGGAGTGACTTCACTGGACGCCTGCCCGCAGATCTGGTGATCCGGCCCAGCCACGATATATTCTCGTATGGCGTCACAATGCTGGGAATGTGCAGACGCGAGGTCTTCCATGTCCAGCCGCGCTCCGCACTTCAGGTTGTGCGCAACATGGAGGACGCGACGAATGATCCGCATCCGCTGCTGCGCTTGATCAAAGAGTGTGTCACGGATTGGCCGCCGGCTCGTCCAACTGCAGAGCAGGCAAGTGCAAAACTATCCCGGATAGTGCGGGCAGTTGCTCAGTCCGCTGCAAATGCAACCGCAGGGCCGCATCATGCTGACACCAATCAGATCTCAGCCTTAAAGAAAGACATAGAGATAAGCCGTCAGAAAGCGGCGGATGCCTGCAACAAGCTTACTGCCAAGGCGAAGGAGAACGGCCGACTCCAGCAACGGCTTCAGCAGCTGCAACTGGAGGAGCCACGCATCCAGGCGGAACGAGCACAGCAGCGGAAAGCACACGGTGGCGTTACCGACTGCGAAACGTGCGACACACAGCGCGTCGCCCTTCAGCAAATCAGCATGGCGCGAGAAGACCTGAAACGAGAGCTCGCCTCCGTCTTACTGGATCTGGAGGCGGCGAAGCAAGAGCGAGACAGGGAATTCACTCGCGCTGAAGAAAGCAAGCAAATCTGGGACAAATTCACCGAAGAACAGCGGAAAGTGCGTGAAAAGGATGAGCGCATCCAACGCCAGCTTGACCGCATTGAAGAGCAGGAGAAGAGAAGTGTGGAGATGGCCAAAGCAATCCAGACACTCTCGGCGGCTGCATCTCGAGACCGGCAAGTTCTGTTCAAAACCCTGGAGAAGGTTGCCTGCAGAATGCAGTTCAGCGAGCAGGAGCAGAAATCGGCATCATGCTGCTTGCCCCTAGGCATCCCACAGACTGGAGTAGTCGATGAAAATCCACAGGTAGGCTAACAACACACTCTTAATAGAAAATTATATCCTGTCTAGTTTCTGCACTTTGTGGCATGTAATGAATGTTGCTGATGCAAGATAAGGGTGAATTCAGAAAAATGATGAAACATGAGAAAGAAGAGTCATAAAGTGTTAAAGGGGAAGTACAGTCGTCCCTCTCTAATCCGGCACTTTATAATCCAGCACCCTCGATAAACCAGCACAATTTTCAGTAGCCAAATGTCCTCTTCATGCACATTGCAGCAGTAAATCAGATTTGTTAATCCAGCATCCTCCCTAATCCAGCAGATTTTCGTGGCACAAATGGTGCCGGATTATAGAGGGACCACTGTATACCCTAAAATCAAATTTTCATCAGTTGTAGTCTTCGGGGTGCTGAGTCGAATGGTCTTCCTCCTTTAATCCCAATCGAACTCACGCACTTCAACCAAAACAGGGTGACTGCGCCCTACTAGATGGGGATTTGTATGCAAAATGTCACTAAAAGCGCCATTTCGGTCTTATAAAAGCACGGATGACCGCGATTGGTCCATATGTTGTAGTCTTTTGGACGCGGAGTCGACTGGTTTTGGTCCGAAAAGGCTGCAATGCAGCATTCGACCCTTATTCCCAATCATACTCGGTTGAGTAAGCGGTCACGTGCTCATACGTACACCAGTCACCTGTTCACCGTACCCGCAGGCTACAACCTTTACAGCGTTCCTGTCACTCAAGTTGAACCTATGAACCTTTGGGTTGAACCCTGGTGTGAAAGTTGTAGCCTGCAGGTGCGGTGACCAGGCAACTGGTGTATGCACGATCACGTGACCGCTTACTCAACCGGGTTTGATTGGGAATAAGGGCCGAACGCTGCATCGCAGCCTTTTCGGATAAAGACGAGCATATACCACCCCTGAAAGGAAACTTTTTCTATATTATTGTTTATTTATTTTTTATTTTTTATTTCACTCAACTCGTGGTTCATGACCAATTGGCACGCAAAGTGCGAGAGAGGGGTGATAGCCAACCACGGCAAGAAAAGAAAAGAAAGGAGTATAGAAAAAGAGAAGAAAGAAGGATAGACAAGAATCCAGCAATGAGATCCTATCGTACTACATTATGCGATCGGAGTGCATTTTTAAAGCTGGAAAGACATTTTGATGTCTTAACATGCTGGGGAAGTTGCAGCCAAAGGCTGTAGGACAAAAACAGAGGAGAGTTGGTAAATGCGGCTGAATTAGCACGGGGAAGTGAGAGACTATTACGAGTGGACCGGGACAGAGAAAACCAATTGAATACGGAGAGATGAATGGGAATTTTACCTAGGCGAATTCTGTGGATCAAAACGCAAAGCTGCGGTTTGCGATTATCTTGCAGTGTTTTGACTGGCTGGCTGAAATTTCTTATTGCTCTGATCGTTGTTCTTCGGATCTGCCATGCCTGTGCTCATATGTGCAGTGGGCGAGACAAGTTGGCGGCAGGGACGCGCAGCTGGAGGACGACATCGTCCACGTCAGCAGAAAGCCGTGCATACACGACGGCCGCGTAGTCACCGCCGTGTGGAAGAGAAGCGGCAGCGAGCAGCACACGGTCTGCTTCTTGAGCTCGCCGCTCGACAACCTTCGCGACTGGACGCACGAGGTGTACAGCCAGACTTTGCCGCTGGGAGCCAGCCCGCAGTCGCACCAGTTCGACTTTGTCTCCCACGCCAGGCAGCTGTACTGCCTGGCTTCGTCTGAGGAAGCCGGGCACATCCGGCTGCTGAGGCTGCAGGAGGCCGCGTCGTCCAGGGAGCGCGGCCGCTGGGTGGAGGTGGAGAAGAGGAACGAGTACCGCGCAGGTTATGGCGTGGGCGTAGTCGGCGATGAGCTTTTAATCATCGGCGGCACAGCGGACAACGGCGCCGGAGTGCAGGAAGCCAAGCTCAACATCCTGGCCCTAAACCTGGCACCCGCCGGTGGTCCCGTCTCGCGGTGGCCAGCGTTGCGCAGGACTATGAGCTGCAAGCATCCTGATGTAGTAGTGGATGGCAAGCATGTTGCCGTGTTTAACGGCGCGCGTGACGGCGGGCGGCTTCATACCACCGTCCTGACGCTGGACCATAGGAGGCCGGCGAGCGAGCGACACTGGACCGCGAACGCCAGCTTCTCCAGCGGCATTCTGGCCGGATGCGGTGTAAGTGTGAAGAACGGTTACGTGGTGTTGGCCGGCGGCATGGAGTACATGCCGTGGTATGTGCGCGGCCTGGCCGACTGCCAGCACGCAGTCAAAGTCTACAGTGGCAGAGGACGACGCTGGATCGACCTCCCCCCGCTCACGGTGTCCAGGACGGCCTGTGCCTTGCTGGCGGACGATGAGCGAATCGTTTGCCTCGGTGGCCGCAGTCACGTGACTCGTGAGAATCCTGATGGCGTCTTCGTCAAGCACATTGAAGTCCTTGCCTGGCCTCAGCTCAACTAGTTCCGACGGTGTACAGCTCTATCACGTCAGTAACAGCTGTGAGTATAGTGCAGATGGCCACGTTGGGCAAGATATACCTGCCACTTGTTGGACGTAGAAACTGGAGAAATGCAACATCCTGGCGTGGGTGTGTGTGCGTGGGGTACTGGAACGCGTTCTGTGTATGTGTGTGTGTTTTTGTTTGTGTGTGTGTATGTTTGTGTGTGTGTGTGTGTTTGTGTGTGTGTGTGTATATGTGCGTACCGTATTCAACGACCTACCTCATATCTGTCGGCCCCTCGTATGAGGGGACATGTGACCGTTTTACGGCAATGTTCAGGACAGGACAGGTATATGTGTGTGTGTGTGTGTCTGAGCATGCATGTGTGCGCAAACGTGTATGCAAAGCTGCATTAAAGACAGCGTACAGGTACCTGTAACAGGCAATGGCTCCCCGGCAATAGTGCAGCTATGAGCCGCATCGGCTAAACTAGAAACTGAACTGCCAGTTAAATAGGCGACGAAATGAGACCATTGCTAACGCCACCTTTTTCAAAGGGCTGCGGTGTTCTCTGACTGGCACTGAACAACAAGACAATTGAGTACTGCTTCAAAGGAGACAGTGTGTTCTAGTCTAGGCTGTATCTCATTGGCTTAGTTGTGTGTGAACTCCTTCAGCATCTTTGAATTCTATATATCGTTTTATGCCCCTTGAGAGGGACGTGAGTTTACCGGGTGCTAGCCTTTGGGAACGGACACGATAATGTACATTTCTTTTTTTTAGAGGAACTTGAGAACCTTGATTGAAAGTAGATTTGGGAAAATTTGGTAAATTTTTGAACTCCTTTTTTCTTCCGATTCAGAGAATGCCGTGTTTTAATAGAATATTTACGTCGTTTAGGTATGAGCTAAATGTTTTTTCAGTAATGCACTTCCTAGCATTACGATTATGTGTTTTCTCAAGACCAGGGCCTGGAAAAGGTAGCTTCATCAGCTCGAGTTTTTTATATCTGAATATTTATCAGGATTGGCGGAAAGCCAGAATTAAATAATAGAACACATAAAATGAGGCAATGTTATGTAATAACAATGTACGCATACTACTGTTATTGTCCAGGTATATGCCACAGTACAGTGTTGCTCAATTATTATTATTATTATTATTATTATTATTATCTTTATCTGAGGGATGACCCAGAGGCGGGTAGCCTATCGAGGGGTTCTCCACTTGTGCGATATTGAATAGGTGCATGGCATAACAGCGAGGGGATAGAATAAAATCCAATCAGCTGAGTCAGTGTGGTGCCGCGTACTACTGCAGCCGCAGACCTACAAACACTGAGCTGTGTACTGCTGCAGCATAATGACAGTTGACACGTGCGTGAGTCACAGTGCCATGCTATTGAGCCGTACATGTACTGTACTTCTGAACTCATTCAGAAGTAAGGTGCAGGCATTGAAAAACCCAGCCGGATTGTGCTAAAACCTGATCCTAATTCGCGCGGTTCGGTCAGAAGTAGGTTTCGGATCAGCAAGTCTGCACGTTGACCTCTCCTGCATGGCTTGAGGAAGACCTGGTCGAAGTAAACCCTAACTTCTGTTACGGTTTAGTTTCCTGGAGAGCGGTCGTAAAGAACGTAAGAATCAAGGCTTGTCAATCCTTTCACTGGCTGTAATGTAGCTGGGATTCTTGTCCACTTTAGTTTGAAAATCGCAATACACCAAGCAATTAAATTGGTACAGGCTGCAGTGATTCTAAGCTGGATTGGCAATAAAAAACAAACAGCAAAACTCGCAAAAATGCGAAATTGAGTGTTTTCATGCATGTGAAAGAAATGGATATAATTATTTCATAGTAGAATCAATCTGGCGGTTCATGAGATGCACATGCAGGACGCCATTAAACTGAAAGGACACATTGTGGGTTTCTGTCAATGTCCCATACGTCTCATTTGTACTTCGAAGTACACTGTTCATGTGGGTGGACATACTCCATACACATTGGTACTATAATACTATGATAATTATGTGAGCGCGTGTGTGCATTTCCAGCTGAAAAATTGAAATAAGGTGTATGCACGCCGCGGCTCTGACTGACATGCCTGAATAAGTGACACCTTAAAAAACTCTATTATCCGGGATATTTCCACTTCTGGACACCATGTTATGTACAGCTGTCTGGCCAGATGTGGTCGCGGGTAATCAATGTGTGATACGTCATCAGGTGCCGCACAATGTGTAGTGGAGAGTATGTGCAGCGGTGAAGGTGCGCTGAATGGAGGAAAGCTCAGATCAATACTGCACTGAGCCAAACATAGTGAAAAGTGATCTTTCGAAAGGAATTAAATAGACCTTGTGATAGAAATCACACAATGGGATTGTCTTGCTGGATAACAGTTTCTAACAACTGGTATTGGTCAGTAGATATTGCACTTTGTTTGGCCGGAGCACACGCATATATGCCCATGGTGACAACGGCAGCCAGGGCGCAGGCTGCCGACATCCAGGCAACGTGATACGCGTAGCCATACGTGACTGAGATGCTGGCTTTCACCAGGCCACCGTCCCTCACGCCAGGCAGGAGCGCGAGAGCATCGCGTGCTTCTAGAACATAGGTATAGTAGCCCGTAGCAGCAGCCATGCAGACACCTGGAGAGAAACACAAGTAATTATTATTAGTTACACAGTCTGGGTCACACGCAAGTCAAGCCGGAAAGACGCCGAGACCGCCACGGTCGGCCGAGCAGCAGGGCCCCGCCACCACTTTCCGCATTCATTCGGGAGCATAGTGGACTTAGTAAAAAAAAAGAAAAAAAAGTGCAGGAAATCATAATCATTGTTTGCAAGGGGCCAGGCCCGGAAATTTGGTACCGGTATATTTTAATTTTTTAAGTGGTGTTTGCAACGAAGAGACCGTGATCGAGTGCTCGAATTTAGGAAAGAGAATCGTAGGATCGTCGGCTAGGGAACCAAACAACAAGAAACGCGTTACATGCACGAAGCACTCCAAGTGCATGCTGCAATTCTTCTCCGGCCAAGTTTACACTGGTCGGGAGGACTGCATGGAAGAGGATTGGTACAGGTGAGCTGGGTCCTACTGGGCAGTACTTGTGTGAGAAAGAGCAAGATCGACCACAGTATATTCACTGGTGTATTTGGCTCTGCTAGGTGCTTTTCTGACGGTATGTTAACTAGTATAATTATTCTAGTCGGAGACAAGATACCAATTATTGATAGAACCACAACCAATCGACAACCAACGGTCGCCGATTCGTTTTGACAGAAACATTTTCTCCAGAATTCATCAGTGACTGCTTCTGGTAGATGGTAGAGAATAAACGAAGTAGCTCATGGTAGCAGAAAATAAAGCTACTACAGGTGTGAGAAAAACAGTAGCAGGGCGGGGAGGCAGCAAAAAGGTTCTTCGCACCTTTTTGCTGCCTCCCACCTTGCTACTACCATCTACCATATCTACAATCTACCAGAAAGTAGCAACTGTTGAATTCTGGAGAAAATGTTTCTGTCAAAACGAATCGGTGTCTGTTGGTTGTCGATTGGTTGCGCTTCCATCAATAATAATTGCTATCTTTACTCAAAAACTTTACTTCAGGCCAATGTCTCAGGAAGAAAGGATCTCTTCACCAAACTGACCCAATCCTGCGACACGCGGATGCCACCATAATATCACAATTACAAGCTAGCGTGTCGCGGGATTGGGTTCACCTTAGCCCGGCATGTACATGTATGTACATGTACATGTACATGTACATACATGTACATGTACACATGAAGGTGCGGTCATGCCCAGATTTAGGCACTTCGCTTTTATGTGCGACATTACTATATCTAGAACCGTATCACTATGCTACCATTTCGGGTGTAGTTCACCGTTGCTTTGGATACTAGAATAATGTTCCGTAGCTGCAGACTGTCACTCACATTGCAACAGGCTGGTGATACCAGCTGCAGCTTGGTAAGGAAGGCTGACGGCCACCTTCTTGGACAGAGTCAGCACCGTCAGCACCAGCACCAGCCAGGCGAGCGTGCCAAACGCCATGCTTCCGAGGAAGCCGACCTTGGCCACGGTGATCTTGCCTGCAGTGCCGCAAGACAAACAGGCATAGCAGCAAAGTCAAGTAAACACCAACACTGTCTCACACCATGCTAGCCGCATGCACCTGCCGGTCAGTTGGGTATCTTGTGAAAAAAGAAAAAAACAACACGCTTCATGTGAGACTCCTGCTCAGTTATAGAGTACTGCGTTTTACGCATCCGTAGGAACGCCACCACGCTCAAGGATCGCAGCGCGAAATCAGTACATAAAGCAAAAAATATAATTATGTATTTAGGCAGTCCTCACAGAAAGTCCTCACAGAACGACGTGGCAGTAACTAAGTGGAATGGATCAGGCCGTGCACCTGGCACGTAATCTGTCCCCGGGGAAAATTGAGATTCCGCGGCCGCGTTTTTTTCCGCGTTTTGCGATTTTTTAAGACCGCGTTTTCCGCGATTTTCCCGCGTTTTTTGAACTTTTCTGCTGCACTACACGTACACACACTGTGCACTGTTCGGTCAGCAACGTCTCATCCGGTGGCGGCTTTGTACTCAAATATGACGAGCGCTCACACCAGAGACTTGTAACTGATTGATTTCACTACATACTCACTGAAAATTGCCTCATGTCAACTGCAAACTTGCCGCCGCGAGACGATATCAATAATATTCACCGCATATTTACCGCGAATTCACCGCAAATTATGCCATATTATGCCGCGTTTTTGCCGCATTTTTTGCGATTTTTTCCGCAATTTTCCCCGGGGACAGATGTAATAGAACAGGTTACCGAATGATCACTGGGGTGGGCAAAATACATCCGGGCGGGTAGCCCGCATGGGGCACTGAGGGCACGTGCATCCCCTCCCCCAACCCCACCCCCCAAATATTTCGATCTAGGTTCAGCATGCACATAATGACCATGAATGACATGCACCAGCCATCCTACACATATGCGGCCATGCACCTCCCCCCACCCCCCTTTAAAAGTGGGACCAGCTACGTCCCTCTCATCTATTCTTAGCATTCCAGCACCTGGTGTTGGCCATGCAAAACTGACTCCATACTCTAGTACAGTAGGGCTCCACACCAACATCCTATGCGTACGAACGATAATTATGCAAGACAACTAACTTCACTGAGCTGTGAGCTGCAGTGCTCCCCTCCCCCCCCCCCCCCCCCCGCCCATCTCCTTCCAAGATTGTTGTGCAGTGGATTCAGTGACGTACCCGTTGGTTCACAAGCCGCGGCGGATAACTGCGGAAGGAGTTCGACCAACGCACGCGTAGGGCATCGCTGCCACAGGCCAATTGTCAAAAGCGGCTTCCCAGTTGGCGTGCCATGGGCGCTCCACACACTGACGGTAGCCCAGCTATCACGGAGCTGGCTTGATAAGGCGAACAGTAGCGCTAGAGAACTGAGGAGCAGGCTCGCCACAGGCATTCCTCGCATTTTTAGCCCCGGTGTTCGCACTGTGGTCGCACTGTATCCCTCTAAGTCTCACCAAGGTCGGTGATTGTAACGTTACAGACGCGGTGTGCCTTGACTTGGGTTATCCTGCTCCAACGCTTAGCCTACTAGTATCAAACATAGGCCAACCAACTGACGATCGGTACACTGTGAACTGCGCTCTTCGCTGACACGACGCAAACAGCAGCCACAGCCAGACACACACAGTCTTCTTCATCCACGAGAGACAGCTGTTACGATAATAATATTATTATACCAGAGCTTCAGGTATCTGTTCTGCATGCTCCTTCCTCGCTCACTCTCACTTTCTCTCCCGCTCGCTCACTCTCGCTCAGTCTGAAATGCCTCTACGCTGGTCGAGTCCGGCGAGACTTCGTTGAGATGTCAGTGCGACACAGATTGCTACGGTGATGGCTTCTTCCCTAGGCTAGAGTGGCTTTGCGAGTTTCAACGTCCAAAACAAGCGCATTGACGGGAACACTAACCTACACCAAGAAGGCAAGGAGCGGACGATGTGCCACCAGAAACGAGAGACACCACTAGGACCACGCTACTTGCATGGACAAATGCAGCAGCGCTTCGCCAACTTCAAAACTTGCTGCGGCGCATTGGCTCAGCTCAGTGCAGTGTCGACTGAATGCGTTTTCGCGATTGTTTCGTTTTTACGGAATAGCATAAGAGATTGGAGCGATGTCGACCACAGCTTCCACTCGTAAACATGTGCGGAACAGCTCTGCGTCTGAATTGCTTGGTGCACTGGCATGAACACTGGAGAACAGTTTGACCCAAGGAGAAACTGACGCCGGGGTAATGTGCTTACAGATCTATTGAAGGCTATTTTAATTTTCCTCTTCCACTTAGTGTAAGTAATAAGTAAACTAACTTTTTACTTCTTGCATGGTCTGCGCGTCATCATGGTCATAGCCCCGGATGATAGTATGTCATAGGTCAATCTTTCGTCTCAGTTGAGTGTTGTGCAAGCCATGTGGACCGGACGACATCACCATGATCATGCACGCACGGTTCAAGTGGACATCCTTCGCTTCGGAAGCGAACTACAGGTACCGCGGCCTCTGGCTCTGGAAGTCTGCAATCTCTCTGCATGCGCAGTCCATGACCATGACTCATGAGGCATGAATGCATGATATTGGGCAGTATCACAGAGCTACTCCGGGTTCCAGTACCATGACTCATGAGTAGACCTACGGTGCAAATAATTCTTCTACGGTCCGAAGGTAAAATCCGTGCCTTTACGCACCACATCCTTTTCAGTTTCAGAGAGGGACCAGTAGAGTCAGTACTCCTTTGCCAGTTTTGTGCCATTTTGTCGCACTCGCTGACTGTATCAGATCTGGTTACGTTGGTGGACGGGTAACGCGGTTAGTCGTACCTCGTAACATGTCCTCCTTTTTCACAAAAAATAGGCTTGTTTCGGGTCGGCAGCCCCTCGAAAAGGAGACTCGGTCGGCCGGAATGAAACTTTTTTTGGATACTTTTTTAGGCTCATCAATCGTTGTGTTATTGATGAGGAAGAGCACCTACACATGTACATAATATGTATCATGGTAAGGATCAATGTCAAGGTAAGGATCAATGTCACAGTTGACTGAGTCTTCTTTTACAGCAGTATTGCTGTCGTCCTAGATCCTGAGAAATCAAGCAAAACGTTCGAGTGCTTGCAGCTCCGTTTAATATAATTATGCTAGCTCGTATCGATCCCCGAGTGTTTCGAGCCGACAGCTGAGAATCTCTGCTACCATAATCGGTAGGTTGATTGTTGCACTCGGTTGAGAATTGACGGAGTTACATGTATGACTCGTTGAGTGCACTTGCACACATCGCATTTGCATTGGCACCTTTCGTGTACATTTGGGACCAAAACAAGTATCAGAATTTGGGAGAAAGTGGCCCGGTCGGCCGACTCGAAACAAGGTCATTATTTGTTTTGGCCTAATATTAACCACACCAAGCAGCAGCCTACACGGCTACAGAAACAAGCAGAACATAATAGTCATTGCCCCGCTGTATTTGTTCAAGTCACACCTTGCTCCTCTTCTCAGTGTGGGAATCTTATTCCATACCAGTGTACTGGGCGTTTTTTGAACTTTTTTCTTGGCCACGTGCTGTTCTTCGCACCATGGTTCCTGCCTCCGGCTTTGCTGCTGCCTTTGCCACCTGGGGGTAGGGTAGTTTCATTTTCTGCTACCACGAGCTTAGCGGCTTCTTTCCTTCTCTTACTCTCATCTACCAGAATAGAGCAGTCACTGATGGCTGGAGAAAAGGTGTGACTGTGTCTGCCTAACAAATCGGCGTCCAATACGTTGTGCTTCTATCAATAACAGTCACTATTATCATTGGCAAGGTTTCTGTTGGAAATTGAAGTCCAGTCCAGAACAGCAAACCATGTCCTGAAACATGCATCAGCACCCTTGAAAGTAGAGAACTCGCCAAACATGATGCACCGGTATTGCATATCCGGGATAATAGCGAATACTAGTACGTGGAGTTCATAACCTGTACGAACAGGAACTGATGGCCGTGGGCTAGGCTTCTTGCAGTACTATGAATCTGATGAAAAAGACCCATCATATCATCTCACTCTCAGTGAGCACTTCACTAGTAAGTTAGTAGTAACAAAATGAGAATGGTTCGATCTGATCTACTTCATGTACTTGAAGCACGCACTTTGAATGCTGAAGGAAACCCTGCATACCAACCGTCAAACCAAACACACACATACACACTTGTTGTACTTGTTGCTCATTGCCAAAACTGGTCACTTGGGTCTCCCCGGGAGAGGGAAGAGAGACTCAATAGGAATCTTGGAAAGATGACTCAACTGGCTATTGAACCGCCCAACGGCCGACACCCCCTGAAATCCCCAAAACTCTGGGTGGACTTGGGAATGATCCCACTTATGGGCTCACCACACCTCAGTAAGTGGGTGAGGACAAGGTGCAGAAAAAGGATTGACGGCATCAGGATATCCGTCCTGGGATCCAACTGCAGTTACCCCTGCCCCCAGTGAAGGTAATACTTGCTACTAGTGTGGGTGGCTAAATCAGAGTGGATCTGATCTAAGCGTCACTAGCACCATTGATTACACAAGAGTTACGGTAATCTAGCCAGAAGCAGTCCATGGTTAACAGGTATGTATACTTCAAATAGAAAGTATACATAATGAAACCAACAAAGGTGGCAGATACAACAATACACCTTCAAGCAGCCGAGCCTGTTGGCAATAGACCCAACACAATCAGGCATAAGTGTACCCACCAACCGAACTAGCTGGGAACATACACACACACACACCATGTACCATGTATACGCCCGTCGCAAGAGAAGCCCGCAAATCTGCAAATGCACTGGATGTGCACCCACAGATTTTCTCTTATACTAGCAACGATAGCGAACAAGATCTGAATGAGACAGATCAAGACTTGCGCCAGATAACTGTCTAATCCACACAACTGGCGAAGCCATGTGAATCGACCACCAATGCACACCTGGTCTACACCACACGGAGTACATCGGCATAAAACGGCCAAGACAGTAACTTACCTATGCACACCCTACACTTGCTGGGCCCAGGGGTAACCAATAGACAGCACGCTGCTTTGATAGAAGCAGACACTAGATGCACTGGTACCTTGAAGTGAAATTGGAGTTACTTTACCAACCAGCCTCGGCTACTGAGTACTGGGAACCCAGAGCCAACAAACATACCAACAACCTCAGCCATGAAAGCTATAATTATAGTAACGACACACTGGATTGTGGAGCCAAAACTAATCCAACTTCCAAATGCTTTGGCAAGAAGGTAGCCTTCCGACAGGTTGGCACACACACACACACACACCTTGACCTTTGACGCCCATCGCCGGAGGCGATGATAGCATTGCTACGGCAGAAGCCATAGCAACTTGTGCTGGGATTACACGATTCAACAGCTTGCAAGGCTGAAGAATTGACCGTCACTATTCAGCCTGGTCTACACCATACAGCTATTTGGAGTGACATTTTCTGGCCAGTGAATCCCTATTTTTGGTCTTTTCAATTTTTTTTCCCCGCACACACATCACACCACATACTCCGGCATGCACTGGCTGTTGGTAACCACCCAGGAGAATGAAAGCAAAAGTCAGGAAGAGTCTGAGAAAGAGAAGAAAGACGTATGTGACCATAATCGTCGGGAATCGAACCCGCAATCTATCGATTGGAAATCGCTGCACATACCACTGCACCATATTATGGGACACACACACACACACACACTCAGACTCAGACATGCCCATCGCGGAAGCGATGATAGCGAACAGCTATGTTAGACATAGCAACTTGTGCTGGGATTACACCATTTAACAGCTTGCAAGGCTGATGAATTGACCGCCACTATTTTTAGCCTGGTATCCACCACACAGCTGTTTGAAGTGACTTTTTCTGGCCAGTGAATCCCTATTTTTCATTTTTCCATTTTTTTCTACACACACACCACACCACATACTCCGGCATACACTGGCTGTTGGTAACCACCCAGGAGAATGAAAGAAAAGTCAGGAAGAGTCTGAGAAAGAGAAGAAAGACGTGTGTGACCATAATCGTCGGGAATCGAACCCGCAACCTATCGATTGGAAATCGCTGCACATACCACTGCACCATATGGGACACACACACACACACACACACACACACACACACACACACACACACACACACACACACTGAGTCTGTGACCTGGTGACAGTCGACCTATTAAAGGGGAAGTCCGGTGAAAAATTTAAAGGGGAAGTATACCCTAAAATCAAATGTTCACCAGTTGTAGTCTTCGGGGTGCTGAGTCGAATGGTCTTGGTCCGAGGAAGCTGCGACGCTCCCTTCCTACTTGAATCCCAATCGAACTCGCGCACTTCCACCGAAACTGGGTGACTGCGCCCTACTAGATGGGGATTTGTATGCAAAATCTCACTAAAAGCGCCATTTCGTTCTTATAAAAGCACGGATGACCGCGATTGGCCCATATGTTGTAGTCTTTTGGACGCTGAGTCGACTGGTTTTGGTCCGAAAAGGCTGCGATGCAGCGTTCCTCCTTTATTCCCAATCGAACATGGTTGAACACGCGGTCACGTGCTCCTGGGTGCCCAAATCACCTGGTCACCGCGCCAGCAGGCGACAACTTTCACACCAAGGTTCAACTCGAGTTCAACTCGAGTGACAGGAGTGCACCCAAAAAAGGTCAAACAGGCTAGTAAGTTGTACCCTGCAGGCACGGTGACCAGGTGACTGGTGTACGCAGGAGCACGTGACCGCTTCTTCAACCATGTTCGATTGGGAATAAAGGAGGAACGCTACATCGCAGCCTTTTCGGACCAAAACCAGTCGACTCAGCGTCCAAAAGACTACAACATATGGGCCAATCGCGGTCATCCGTGCTTTTATAAGAACGAAATGGCGCTTTTAGTGAGATTTTGCATACAAATCCCCATCTAGTAGGGCGCAGTCACCCAGTTTCGGTGGAAGTGCGTGAGTTCGATTGGGATTCAAGTAGGAAGGGAGCGTCTCAGCTTCCTCGGACCAAGACCATTCGACTCAGCACCCCGAAGACTACAACTGGTGAAAATTTGATTTTAGGGTATACTTCCCCTTTAAATTTCACAGTCCGTAGAGTTCGGGGCGCTGAGTCGAATGGTCTTTGTCCGAGGAGGCTGCGGCTTATGGTTCGTCAGATACGCCCAATCGAACATGTGCGAATTTGAGCGCGCATCACCCAGATCCAGGTGATGACGTCACAGCGTGCAGCCAGGTAGCCACACCATCTAGTTGTGTACAAAAATGGCCATATTCGGAGC